AGCATCAAATCTATGATGATGTTGCAGGAAGGTCAACGCATCGTATCCTGGATAGTTCTTGGATGCGATCAGAAGAAACAGAGAGGTACAGGCGACGTTGACGATGAGATGAAGGATGATTCCGTAGTTGAGAAGCTTCCGAACGAATGACTTTCTTCTGTTCACGTAGATTCTGGCACAGAAAACGGCAGCGGCTAGGGAGAAGATCGGAATTGTGTAGATGATGAAACGGAGTTCTTTATGTGGTAAGAAGCTGTAGAGGAAGATGAAGCAAGCGCTTGGGACGAGAATTTTGGGAACACGATAATCGGAGAGACATCCCAGCGGCACCAGGAAGACAGAAGTGAGCAGGCATCGAGGGAGAGCTGAGTAGAAGTACCAGAAGTAGGGATGGGTTCCATACTCGTGACTTCGATTTTCGATGACGTTGAAGAACATGACTTCTCCTTCCGGCCACACCGGTCGTCCCCAGAAGTATGAATCGATTGGGATGGAGAATGCTGGAAGTAGGAAAATTACCACTAATAGAACTTCAAACGGAAACTGAGATCTGAATTATCTCGACTCATGTGAAAGATATCGAAAACTTGTCAACTGATAAATTGTTTATCATATTGTTAACAACATTTTATCAGTTGACAAATTTTTTGACATCTCTCATGGGAATCGAGATAATTGAGCTCAAAATTGATGTTATAATGACTTCCAACTCACCTAAACATGCCGCTGCTATCCTGACACCTATCGCAATTGCTCCATCGAACCCAAATGTTTTCAACTTTCCCAGAACCAAGTATCCTAGGAACAAAGGCCCAAAGAGGAGAACAAGCTCACATCGGAAGAGAATCACACAGGCGGTCGCGTAGCGAACAGCACTTCTGTACCGTTCCTCGAATATCCGTTGGAATACAATCATTACGAGGCATAGAGCAAAGGAATTGGGAAGTGGTCGGGAGAGGTAAAAGAAGAAATGGAACTGGGAGCAGAGGATGTATCGGAGGAACATTGCTGTTTCTCTTCCGAAGCCCCATTGAACGGATCGAGCAAAGTAGAGAACGGAAACGGTGTTGATCAATCCAAGAGTAGTTCGGACTGAAATTGGCTTTGTTGGGGCATCAAAGGGGGGAAAAGGGCTTACTGAGCATAAGTTGGAAGGGTTTAGGAATCGCCCAGAATCTGAACATTATTGACATTGGAGACGAGAAAATCGCGAGGACGATGGGACCGATGAATGTGCGCGGCACGACTCCGGGGAACTGAGTGTGGTCATACTGAAAATAGAAACCGTGACTTTGAATCAATTTATTTCGGTTCCTGTAAAAGATATAAAAAATTGTCAACTGATAAATTGTTTATCGCGTTTATATATCGTAATATTACCAACATTTTTCAGTTGACACTTTTTTGATATCTCTTATAGGAACTAAGATAAATTAGCTGTAATTATCGATTATCCGGTTCACTGATCAACATCTAAATTCCAACACATGAGTACCCAAATGATCAAAGCTATCACAAATTCGCACATCCGGTCTCGATAACCTTGAAATTGAAACGAGACTTCGCTAAACTCTGTGTGTCTACGATATAAAAGTAAAATTCGGTTCAACACAGAAAAAATGCTTCCAACTCTTCTGATATTCTCTCTAATCTCCATTTCTTCTGCAGTAGAAGGCCCGCCTTGCTCATCTGACGAGTTTTTGAAGACTTTCCAGTGTATTGGGGTAATAGTTTAACAACGGGCCCCCACACTGTCAAGGTTGAGCTCGTATATCTCGATTCCTAAAAGAGAGCAGAAATAGTTGAACTAATAAAATTTTTGTGATATTATGATAAAAATGTTATCAGTTGACCACTTGTTGATATCTCTTCTAGGAACCGAGATATTTGAGCTCGAACTTGGCAGTGTGGGGGCCCTTCTATTACAAGTTTCACGGTATTAACAAGTACCGATTCAACTACTCGAAGGTCCGATTTCAGGGTCTCTCGGAATTCGTCACTAGCGTTGACAAATACAATTTGACAGTGGGAGAAGATCGGGAAAAGTTCACAGCTGCTTGCAAGGAAGCATCTGACTGTTTCGATGGCACTGAATGTCTTCATGATGATCGCTTGAAACTGTTCCTAGAGACTTATTGCGGATATTCGACCTTCTTGGAGACAGATTTTCTCGAGTGTAAGAAGAAGTTGGATGGGAGGAAGGAGTCGCAATGCGAGAAGAACTTCAAATCCTTCTTTGATAATGCAAGTTTTAATAGACATGGATTTTCTTAAAGCTGATAATTTCAGACAATGACCGAAGATGTGAAATGTGGAATGCTGGAGGACTCATTGAAGTGTGTGAAAAAGGAAGTGAGCAGTGTTTGTGGTGAAAAGGATGCGTCTAATATTGGAAAGTACTTGGAAAATATGTCACAAGGATTGTCTTGCGATGAAGTCAAGAAAATGAACGAGGAGAAGAAGAACGATTGATTGTTTGTTGCGTTCAAAGACTTACATTGCTCAAGTTGGTTGGCATATGAAACAGTAAATCGTGTGTCGCTTGTGTGTTAAAAGATTCCTCGACTTTTGTACCAGGTGCACATAAAACATGTATTAAGCTGACAATTATTACTATCCATTCTGAAGTTTCCATATTTTCTGCAAAAATGAATAGAGGGCGGTATTTGAAATCAAAGTTAGGTAAATAGTGAATTTGATAGAAACAGGTTAGTGAAAGCCGAAAAAAAAATATAATTTTTAAAATAATGTTTATTTTTCAAACAAGAAAATTATAACAATTACAAGAAAAATGACTAAACTACTGCAAAAATCTAACAATATTTAACAAAAAATCAACACTGATTCTCTATGAGTTGCTCAATTCTGGTGGCTTCTTGCTTCGCGTTTTCGACAACTTTTCTGGCATTTTCAGCTTTTTTCTTCGTTTTCAGCACATTCAACGGTTTTGTGTTGGGATTTGCACAAATCGCTTCGTATGACACAACCTTTGATTCGTACTGCTCTTGACGGCTTACAGTTTTCTCCAACTGTTTTTTGAGACACTCTATGAACGCTTTTTTCGATTCCGAGTCAATTCTCAACCACAACTTGGCATCGTGTCCAGGGACTGGAGTTGCCATGTAGTTCTTCTTGATGTCTTCATCAACTTCTCGACATGCATTCTGAAGTTCTAGTCCGCAGGTCTGTGTGACGTCGTCAGCTAATCGACGGATTTCTGAAGGCGTCGTTTCAATCGGCTGCATTTCTAGGACTCCTGAGAAAATGAGTTTCGGAGAGAGCTCTAGTTTTTGTCGAGTTGATCGTACTGCAGCCATCACAGCAGTTACCAGCTTCATGGCATCTTCTAGCTCTTCGTTCCGATGGAAAATGAAGAGAGATGGCTTGACGACGTCGAAAAGGATGCTTCCAGGTTCTCTGGAAAAGATTCTCTCGTAAATGTGTTCGCTGACGAATGGCATGAAGGCGTTTAGCTGAACGAGTGTTGGCTGAAGAACTCGTTGAAGTGTGGACCGGGCTTGTCTAATGCGTGGAATATCGTTCGACCATAATGCCTTTTTGGTGGATTCCTAAAGTGAACTTGATGTTTTTTTTGGAAAATTAATATTCCTAACCAAGTACACATCGCATATATCAGCAGTGATGAATTTTTGAAGTGTGGAAAGTGCCAAATGCAGTGAAAACTTCTTCATATGGTCATCAACAGTGGAAACCGTGCTTGAAAGTCTTGCCACAATCCATTCGTCCTGAAAAATTTTAATAAGTACTTTTTAATATATCAAAATGTGTAAATTCCCATAAAAATAAAGAAAACCTAAAAAATCGATTAAAAGAGAAAACTCTCAGTTCTCGTGCTTTTCAGGAAACTTCTAGAAGATACTGGAATTATTTTTGAATTCCCGCCAAAACTGAGAACTTCGAAAAATTAGCGATTTTTCGAAAGCCACATTGATGTTTTCTTTGATTTTTCACATTATTTTTAGACTTTTTTAGGTTTTTCAGCTATTTTCAAAGATTCTTTTTTGATTTTTCCGGTTTTCGTTGTCCGAAATGTGATGGAACGTTGTTCGAGAAGATTACAGTAGATTACTGTAAACAACTTATTTCCATTTGTAGTTTTTTTCTGCAAATAATCACGTCATGCAGACAAATAAGTTTTTTAAAAACTACAAAAATGGTGAGTTTTCTACAGTAACCTACAGTAATCTTCTCGAACATGGTTCTATCAAATTTCGGACAAAAAAACTGGAAGAATCGAAAAAGAATCTTTGAAGATATCTGAAAAACCTAAAAATGTCTAAAAATTTAGCAGAAAAACGAAGAAAAAATAAATTATTATTTCAAAATACTGCACAAAAAAGCCTAATTTTCGGAGTTTTTTGGTTTTGGCGGGAATTCAAAAACAGTTTCAGAACTTCTATAAGTTCCCAGGAATAGACGAGAATTAAGATTTTTCGCTTTTTTTAGCGATTTTCTGAACGGACCGTTGATTTGTTGAATTTTAAACATCGAACATACAATAAGTCTATCCGAATCCACATCTTTGATTACTTCGCACTTCTCTGCTAATTGATCATAATACGCAGCGAGATTCCATAGCTTGTTACAGAAATGAAGTCCATCTAGAGCCACATTTGACACATCCAGTGGAATATCCGTCGAGAGAATATCGTACTTGAGAAGAGCGAATCGAAGAGCATCTGGTCCGCATCGAGCGATGCCTTTTGGGAACCTCTTCGTCAGATCCTTCACTGCGTTTTCGATTTCTGCAGGTTCCAGAGCACTCTCCTTCACTCGATCAACCATTTTCTCAAAAGTGATTCCATCTAGTACATCCAAAGGATCAATCACATTTCCCAGAGATTTACTCATTTTCCGTCCTTCATTATCTCGAACCAATCCATGCAGCACAATTTTTCCAAATGGTGATTCTCCATTAGCCAATTTCAAGTTAAGAGCAATCATTCGAGCAACCCAAAATCCAGAAATATCCCATCCAGTCTCCATGACATTCAGATACGGATTCTGAACAGCTTCTCCTTCCAGCCAGCCATTTTTCACAAGTGGCACTAGCGATGAGCTGAACCACGTGTCAAGAACATCCTGATCTTGTTCGAATTGCTCTCCGAGTTTTTGACGAGCTTCTTGCTCATCGGCAGTCACAATCCAGTTGTTCTGTCTGTAAAAAATGCTGTTTTAAAAAAAATTATATTTTTTGGCTACCCGGGAACATGATAGGCCGGAATTCGATGGCCCCACCACAGCTGTCGACTCAAGCACCATGGCTCCTGGTTTTCAAACCAATCAATCAGACGATGTGATTGGTATTCGGGGAATACTTCGATCTGAAAACACCGAAGCATTGGAAAAAAAAACTTCAGTGCCATAAAAACCTTTCCTGTTCTTAACTGCTCCGCTGATCTCACAAACATTTCCTTACAGTCCAAAAACCATTGCTCAGCTAATCTTGGCTCAATCACGTCCCCGGTTCGAGAACAAATGTTAACTTGTGCTCCATCGTGTTTTATGAGTCCTTTGTGGTTTCCAGAATTCGTCAGTTTGTCAATAACCTTCTCTCTTGCATCAAATCGATCTAATCCCGCAAAATCTTCCGTGCAATTCACCATTTTGCCGTTTTCATCGATACAAGAAAACTCATCGATATTTGATGAGGGATTTTGCAGCTTCCAGCGATTCCAGATCTCATAGTCTAATGGATCATGCGATGGAGTGATCTTCACAGCTCCTGTACCCTTCTCTATCGACACTGCTGAATCAGTTATCACTAGCAACTTTCTTCCAGGCATCACAGGCGACCAAACCTGCTTTCCATGCAGTTTTGTGTATCTATCGTCTTCTGGATGAACTGCAATCGCAACATCAGCGAATAGCGTTTCTGGTCGAGTTGTTCCCACTTCAATATATTCTGAATCCGACGAATCCACTAGTTGGTATCGAATAAGATGCATTTGCCCAAATTTAACTTTTCTCTTGAGCCCGTTTGCCAGAGGAACATTGATATAAGTATTCGTCGGAACATCGACCCGATCCACTTCTTGGCTTGATAGTGTTGACGATAATGTAGGACACCAGTGAACCATTCTTTTGCCACGTGTAATCAGTCCTTCCTTTTCCAATGTGCAAAACGCTTTGGTGACCGCTTCAGAGAACTTTGGGTCCAGTGTATAGTAGTTTTGAGTCCAATCCAAAGAAGCGCCCATTCGAGTGAGTTGATGGCGGATTTCAGAAGAGCATTTCTCACTCCATTTGTGACATTCGTCTAAAAATTCCTTTCGAGACATGTCTTGACGCCTTCTTCCACGTTTTGCAAGCATTTTCTCTACTACGACTTGTGTTGCGATTCCAGCATGATCGAATCCAGGGATCCATTCTGCCTGGGAATAGAAAAATACTTTTCAGCACAAAAAAAGCTCACTTTGTTTCCTTGATTCCTTTGATGCCTGCAAATCGCATCTTCCACAGCTACGGTCAACGCATGTCCCAGATGAAGCTTGCCGGTGACATTTGGTGGAGGAAGAACCATTCGGAACAGACTGCCTATAAAGAAATTCGCTTGATAAAAATCTTAATAAAACAATTTTTTTCTCACCATTTTTTCTATAATTAGCAGCTGCAAATTCTGTCCTTTGCTTGTAGTTTTGAGTCACTTCATCGATATTGAACGAGCTAGAAGAATTTATGAATTTTAATTCCTTGGTTTTAGTTTCGGATACCTACTGCTTTGACGGGTGAAAACTGCTGAAGAGAATGTTCTGTGTCGTGAGAATCGATGAAATAGTGCTGCTTTATTCAGGTTTCTCATTGAATCAAACGAAAAAAACTGGAAATAAGTCAATTTTTGGATTGGGTGTCTTCCAAAATAAATTAATCTCTGCGTCGGCACTCTCTCGCGCATGCAGATGGAGCGCACTTGATTCATCTTTTCGCACATTTTCAAATTTTGTCGGAAACGGTTGAACGAAGTTTGAACAAAGCAATTGTACTTCATTAATAAAAACCTTTTCAAACAAAGAAACAAGTAAAGAATTTAGAAAATATTTAAATACAGCTTTGCTTTACTGACTTCTCATATTCTTTCTTTACTGAATGAAACACTGGGTCCTTGAGAAAATCCGCATTAATTAAGCTCATTATTTATGTATTTATGTTTTCCCGTATCAGTAAATACCAGATTCGTCACATTTTTAAATGTATATTCTGTAAGTGAAGGGCACTGAAATATATAAAAAATCAAAAAAAGGTAAAACAAAAAACGAAATCGGGTTCCGAAAATCATTATTCTTTAAAATTCCTTCTTTACACCAAACAATAATCAAAGACATCCTCAACATAGCATAACTTTATTCAATATTTACAAGTATTATTCATTATCATTGCATATTTTAGAAAATTCATTGATAAGCACCATAATTTGATGCTGGCGAGTAGACATTTTGATCAAAGACAAGTGGAGTTCCATTCGATTCAACCACATCCATCATTTTCGATTTTTTCGCCTTTTCTAAGAAGAATTCGTTCGTGGTGTCGATGAATTTGCATGGCCGGATTCCATTCTCAATTGCCATTTTGGCTGCTCCGATTTCTAATTTCTCTCCTAGATTCTTTCCTCGGTGACTCTGCAATTTTTTTTAAATAATTTGTAATTTTTTTTTTGTATTTTCTTACATCGAAAACATGAAGATGAGCTAGAGCTCCGTGCGTTTCAGAAGAGATAAATCCAGCCAACTCGTCTCCTTTCCGAACGCAGAGCGATGGGAAACGTCGGAGTTTTTCTCTGAAAATTTATATTGCTCCCAGTAAAAGTTCCAGGCAATCTTACTCGACAAGTTTGGCATTCGGAGCTACTGAAGATCCTAAAATTTGGGAAACATCATCTACAGATTCGGGTACATTGATTGAGTAGCCATCAGGAAGTGATCCATCTTCGTAGTGTCTGTATTTGAACATTTGACTCTCGTTCATTGCAAAAAAGTGGGACGATTTGTTGTTGACCTGCGCCTCGATCTTGTTTTTCTTCATGTACTTTTCGATCTGCAATATATTGTATTGTCTTTTTTTCTTATCAATCCCCGACCAAAACTTACCGCCTGTGTATAACATCGTTCTGCAACTGTGGACGGGGTATTCGAGCCAGCGAACAGCCCATTCTGTTTGCAGAATTCATCGAAAACCGCCAGAAAATCTTCCTCTCGAAACTTTCCATCATGGGTGAGAATCTGACGGTCTCTATAAAGATAAGGTACAAAGGTCGACAGAAGAAAACTGGTTTGTATAGACTTTCAAGGAAATGTCTGATCTTGTCAAGAGATGGTCAGAAGTCAGCCATCGGAAAATAAAATTTGACCGAAAAAAAGAAAAACATGAACTTAGGTGTGTACCCTAGAGAGTCACATGAGGTACTTTTAGGTTTGAAATTTGATGGCAAAAGGTGGGAAGGAATAGAATTTCATTTCTAGGTGACTACCGTATTTTCTCTAATAGACGCTAACTTTGGGCTCAATTATCTCGATTCCTGTGAAAGATATCAAAAACTTGTCAGCTGATAAAATATTGGTGATATTATGGTAAAAAATTTATCAGTGAACTAATTTTTAATATCTATCACAAGAAGCGAGATAAATGAACTCAAAGACGACGGTTTGGGTGGGCTTCTGCCGTAAAACCTATGATAAGAGGGTCACCTTAATTTGAGCTTAATTATTTCGATTCCTGTGAAAGGTATAAAAATTTTTTCGACTGATGAAATAATGGTGATATTATGATTAACATTTTATCTGCTGACAACTTTTCCATATCTTTCACAGGAATCGAGAAAATCGGGCTCAAAGTTTACGGTTTGGGTGGGCTTCTGCCATAAAGCCTTTAAGATAATGCCTCTTTACGTTGAGCTCGATTATCTCGATTCCTGTGAAAGATATCAAACATATGTAAATTGATAAAATTTTTGGTGATATTATGATAAACAATTTATCAGTTGACAAATTGTTTATATCTTTCGCAGAAATTGAGATAATTAAGCTCGAAGTTAGGTACTGTAGGAAGACTGCTATTAGATTTTCTCTAAACTCTAAAATTAGATTCTAAATATTTTTTGAAGACCCTGAAAAGATATAACCTTGATGTTTGAAAGGCAAAAAAACCTTTGAGTAATAAAATTTTATGGTGTTTGCAAAGTTGGGGAACCTCGAAGACTTCAGTGAAACAAACCTCTCATAAACATTTGTCATGTTTGCCATCCAATAAGTAGTACCATTGACATTTTTAGAGAATAGAGCAGTTTTAGTAGTGGGGAAAGTTCCATTAATCTCAAATTGAATTGGGTGGTACATGAAAAGCTGACGTGGCTTTCTGAAGTTCTCCACAACAGTTTTCAACGCCTTCTGCGTTGTGTAGGCTTTCAAAGTGGCCGACGACATGTTTGGAAGAGTTTTAGTTGTTTCCCCTCTAGCTCTTCTTTTATACCTTCTCCCTTATTCTTACCGTTTCGTTGCCTACACACCCATCGCTCCGCCCATTTCAAAGAGGACGTATTCTTACACGTGGGACGAAAAGATAACTGCAGAATTCGCACGTGTGGGGATGGGGAAAAGAAGACAGAGAAAAGGGGATGGAGATAATATGATAAGATAGATCTTTAAGGGATGATGAAAAAAGTGGAAAAGATGAAACCTAATTGTTTTTTTCTTGGGAGGAGGGGAATCATGAAGTTTGGTCTCAAATTGAGGCGAACGAATCCGGAGTTAAAGATAATAAGGAAATTTCGAACTTTTAGAAAATTGGAAGAACTTAGTCCGACATGAATTGTGATAGCCTGAAGATCGGTTAATACTAACTATCCATACTTTCCTTCAAAAGAAGAAAACAGTCAACTTTGAGCGGAGTTATCTCGATGTATATGAATGGTATCAAAAAGTTGTCAATTGATAAATTTTTTATCATAACTTCGCAAACATTTCATCATTGACAACTTTTTCATATCTCTTATAGGAGCCGAGATAACTGAGCTCAAACTTGGCAGGGATTTCCATTACAGGTTTTACAGTGTTGAACGAATTTCGAACCAAAAGAAAATCGTAAGAAATTAGTGAGACATGAATTGTGGTAGCCTGAAAACCAGCTAAAACAAATTTTTCTAAAAAATGAAGGAACTGGCATGATCCTTCCCCTTCTTCAGATACCGCGAAAACTGTAATAGAAGCCCCCCCCCCCCCCAAGTTCTAACTTTGAGCTCAATTATCTTGTTTCTAGTTGAAGATATGAAAAAGATGTCAACTGATAAAATATTGTTGATGATATGATAAACATTTTACCAGTTCACAAATTTTTGATATCTTTCACAGGAATCGAGATAATAGAGCTCAAACTTGAGAACGCTGGGACCCTTCTATTACAGGTTTTACGGTATGCAGGAATTGCGAACTCCAAGAAAATTTGTATTGTAAGTATTTAGGTGAGACATAAATTTTAATAACCTGAAAATCAGCTAATCCGAAATTTTCTATAAAACCAATTTTTAGATTTTTCAGAATTCAAATTCGAAGTGACCACTAATTGATCTTAAATTGCAGAAGACCAAGCTTTTTATTTGTTTTTGTCTCATCATATTTTCATCATAAATTATGTCTACTGATCATGTACCCTGCAAAACATCACTCTATCAAAAACCTATCGAACTATTAATGGTCAAGAAAAAAATCTATTTGTCGTTTTGGTGACTCCAAATGTATAGTAAATCAATCACTTTCTATGTGAATTATCGGTCTTTTGGATGCGTCTTACTCTCTCTTACATCAGCGAAAAATCATCGTCATCTGATGGACAACGAGAAAGACAACAACACTTTTTGAAGATTCTTCCTCTTTTGTTTTCTTGATTTTTGTCACGTAAACTGATGTAATGCTTTTTCAGGTCTGGAAATGACTAAATTAGGTACAAAATGATCACATTTCATCAGACGATCAGTGGATAAGAACTTCTCATTAAGAAGATAGACAGAAAAGTTCAAAGACTGTCTTTTAATCTTTTATCTTATTAAGAAAACTACATGATACGGGATGGGTACAAAATTCACACGAGGTGTCATAAAAACTTGTATCATTGATCAGTTTCAGAAGAAAAACATAGAAAATTAGATTGACCGGGAAAGTAAAATTGTCATATATGGGGTCATAACAGACTTACCGTAAACACCAATAGAAGGCTGTCCTAACTTTGAGCTCCATTATCTCGATTCCTGTGAAAGATATGGAAAAGTAATCAACTGACAAAATAAGTGTGATATTCTGATAAAAATTTTGTTCGTTAACAACTTTTTGATATCTTCCACCGGAAATGAGATATATGGGCTCAAAGGTTATGGTTCGGGTGGCACTCTATTATAGTGTTTAATATGTGCTTATGTGTTTTGCCGGTTCAAATGTGAGAGTCTGAACTTTTTAAAACGACTTGTCTTCTATTCCTGATTTGTTTATGACATACATAATCATAAAAATATTTCGATTTATTTAATTCGGAGCCTTTCCAGTGGTTTGGAGGGGCAGAGTACGGTCTGCAACTCAGAAAAGCGTACTGTACGCAAACGGTGTTTGCGGCCTGTGGATTTACGAGCTTTCTTCGCCTTATTTTTTTTCGGTTAAAAGGAGGATTTTCTTGTTTAAAAGCACAATTTATGTTGCAATTACACAGTAGAAAAATTCCACAAGTGTTAAAACAGTGTTTGGCATCCGAATGTGCTGCGCATCCGTCTTCTTCAAGCGAAAGTGAGTAGTTTATTTATTAACCTGAAAATTAAGTTCTTATTTTAGATCCAAAGCCACTGGAAACACTTCCATATGTTGAATACATTAAGAAGAGATGGCCAGACAAGCTTCTAAAAATGGATAAGCAGATAGAGGGACTAAATAATGAGAGGAAAGAATGCAGGAACGATTCGAAGGTTCTCCATTTTCTAAAAGATCTCAACTCGTTTATTCTTAATAAAGACGCAGTCGAGTTACTTCCTGTCGGTTCCATGGTCACAAATTTCGTCAACAAACAATCCGACTTTGATTTTGTTTTCTTCCCAAAACGAGAAATTCCGCGACTCCGATTTCTGAGAGACTTCCATCAAAACCCAAGTTTCAAACAGTAAGATTTTCAATTAAGCTTCTTGCAAATGTTTGATTTTTGTTCCAGGAACTTCATGTCAGTATTCGCAAAACTGATCACTCGAGAGAGTGAAAAACTCGGCGAACCAGTGGAAAAAGTTGTGGAGCTGCCGAGAATGCGAGTTCCATTGTTGATCATTAGATACGCGTCTGGCCTGAGTATCGATATTCAATTTCCAGAAGAGAATTATCATGCACTCAGGAACACTCATTTGATGAGAATGTATAAAGCGGTAAGCTTTAATTTCAATAGTTTGAGTTAAAATGATGCCATTATATATCTTTTTCAGTGCGACAATCGTTTCACATTGCTGTTCCTATGGTTGCGAGCAGTTTGCGACAAGTTGGAAGTTCGAAATAGCAAGTATGGCCTCCTCTCTTCCTATCACCTCCTTCTCCTTGTGATTCACTTCTTGCAAAGTGAACAAGCCCTCTCGCCATGGCCAGTGCTTCCAGTGCTTGCGAAAACCCATCCATCCCTCGTCACATCTGAAATTCCTATAAAAAAAATCGCCGAACTCATCAGGTCCGAGAATCCATGCCCAGAAGATTTCTCGTGGAAGTCACATAACAAGATGGCTGTTAGCGAGCTGATCATTCGATTCGTTGACTATTATTCTCATTTCAATGCTGCCAAAGAGGCGATTTATATTGAGAAAGGATTGGCACAAAAGAGGAAACAAGTGTTCGGAGACGTTCGGCTTCAAATCATCGATCCTTATTCTCCGGTTTCTGTTTGTCGGTCACCTCATGCTAGTTCTGCGTTCTTTGCAGCTATTCAATTCACAAGGAAACAGTTTAAGAATGGTAAGGATTAAAGAGCCAACAATTGTTATTATTATTTAATACAGCAAAATGTGTAGAAACAGATGTAGCAGACATGAGCGGAATTCCTTATTCCTTCTTCCTTATTCCTTATTCCGGGTGTTTTTTCTATTCCTTATTCCTTATTTCTTCTTCCTTATTCCTTCTTCCGGATTTTCATTTTATTCCGCTCATGTCTGATGTGTAGATTCATATAGCAACAAAGAAAAAATGCGAAAAAATTTTCAAAACCTCGAAAAATCGTTTCAAGTCTATTTCTGGGAACTTCTAGAAGGCTCTAAAATTTTCGCCAATAGTAAAAACTCCGAAAAAAGTAGTGATTTTTTCGCGATTTTTCGAAAGAAAAATAACCTTTTTCTATGATTTTTTGCTAAATTTTTAGACCTTTTTAGGGTTTTCAGCTATTTTGGAAGATTCTTTTTCGATTTTTCTGTCAGAAATTTGATGGCACGGTGTTCGAGAATGTTAATTTTGCGAAAAAACGGAGAAAAAAGCAATTTGGCTTTCGAAAAATCGCAAATGTTACCGTAAAACCTCTAACAGAACGACACCCGGATCGTCCACTTTGAGCCTATATATCTCATTTCTGCGAAAGATATCAAAAAGTGGCTAACTAGTAAAATGTT